AGGTAAAATATAGGACACCCCGTTAAATTTGAATTTCAGATAAATAATAAATCTTAAGTGTTAAATAGCAAATCACGTGTTAGTGTAAGTGTGCGAAACACTGTGCAGGGCGTCCTGTATTTTAATTTGCAAATCAGAAAAACCTCATGAACAAGTGAAATGAACTGAAAGATAAAGTGAAAAAGGAGATAAATATAAGAGCTTGTGTGTTAGGAAGTTGTCTTCATTATAATATAATCGTTCCTATTTTGAATTTCTCTCTAAAGGCAAAAACATGCTTTAAAAAGTTCCTCTCTGGCATTTCCTATGTATTTGTTCTGGGTGCATTAGCACTTATTCTGTGCTTGTAAATCTTGTGGCCACAGTTAAAAAGCCTGATGAATCACCTTCAAGACTTCACAGAACTGTCTTAAATAAACTAAACAATGTTTCAGTTATCTATGCTTGAAATATTTTAAGATTCGCATCTGTTTTTCTTTTCTTCCCTTTCCTATTTTCTCCTTTCCCGTTCTTACTCCTTCTGCCTCTCCACCCCTCACTCAAAATAAAATATTTTCTCTAATCCATTACAGGGCTGAAAAAATTGGCACACACCTACCATTTTGCAAGGAGAGACATATTCTTTTCATTTGGAGGCACCTTTTAGAAATACACTCATATTTTTTTGCATATTGTGCTATTCAAAAATGATCATTTTTCCATCACTGTAAAATTAAGAGTGAGGCATTTTTCAAAGGTTTTCAGGGAACTCCAGACTCCATGTATGGGAATCATTCCCATAAAAGTCCCTTCTGACAGCCATGGCTGGGGGATATGAGAAGCAGAGGTGATTGGTTCTACAGAAGGAAATGAAATAAAATCATAAATTCTTTCCCAATAAGATATATGCTCAGCCACGATAAAGACAGCACTGAACCTACTAGAAGATGGTGTCCCATGACAACCAACTCTGTAGGTTCAGGGGATCATACCAAGTCCTGAAAGCTGCCAGCCAGGAGCTTCTGGTGACAGCTGTCACAAAGAGAAAATAAAGATCATTCAGGAGTCAGCTCAGCCCAGCACACTGAATGGATCATTGGTATGTCCTGGGGAAAATGTAACCCACAAAGATTCTTGTCAACAACTCAAGTCTGAAAACTGTCACCAAAGTCCCCTGCCTTGCAACTGAGGTGGGCTCAGGGAGGCACTCTGTCCTTGAAGCCGTGAGGATCTATGAGCCAAAGAAGTAGAAAACTAACTTGAGAAAGTCAGAGCCTTTGTTAGAAAACTCACGTAGCCAAGCTAAAAAAATGATCCCTGAACAGCAGCCTCCCTGAAACCCAGAGTCCTCACCTGTCTGCCCAGGGGTTGAAGTCCATCATCTCCAAACCAACTTCCACATCAGGAACCTTGCTTTGGAGAAGAGGTTACGTTAAAGTGGACTGAGCTACATGGTTCGACTAGGCTTTAGCAAATGACAGGTCAAACTTCAGCTGGCTAATCTTAAATGTATGGATATAGATTTAATTTCTCAGCATCCTTCCTGGCACTCAGGAAGTTTCTTAATCCGTTTAGAACAACACCAACTTCACAAAAGAGGAAGAGGCCTCAGGATGACGCTGGAGAAGGGGCCCACGGTGCCCTGGAGGGACTCCTGAGAAGCCACAGACCTACAACTTATGGAGGGAGGCTTTGCCCAGGCCCTCCAGGGCCCCTGGAAGCTGGCATGGAGAGTCTGCCAGCCTCTTCGCCGAGGGGCCTGGCCTCTGCACTGGGGCGGCCAGCAGCCCAGGCCACTCTCCTCCAAGGCTTTTGTGAAGCCTGGCTCTCCCAGCAGCTCCGCGCTGCGTGGTGGTTTTGTGAAGGGTACAATTCGAGGCTCTGAGGAGACCACCCAGCTTCCTCTCCCAGAGTCTCCAAGAGAACAAAACTGTCCTTCTGTGTGCCAGCGACCTCCCCCTCTGCCCGGCCCCCTCCCACTCCCTCCTCCGCCCAGCCAAGGGAAAGGGGGAGCCAGTCAGGGCCTTGCTCACACAGTGGCAACCCAGGGGATAGGGTGCTAATGAGCTGTCCAGAGCACTCCAGGCCAAACCCTCGGTGCCTGGGCTGCTGCTGCCACCCTGTGGCAAAGGGCTAATGACCCAGAGCAGAGCAGACCAAACTATGTGGAAACTCAAAGCATTTTCTGGAAATTTCATTACTGTGGACTAAGGAGGGTTATAGAGCCAGAAAGAACTTGGACATTTGAAGGGAAAAGGAACTTGAAGCAATCTGTTGCCTGTGTCAGCGATTCTCAAAGTGTGATCCCTGGACCAGTATCAGCATCTCTAGGAATCTACTAGAAATGTAAATTCTCAGATTCCACTCTAAACCTACAAAAGCAGAAAATGAAAGGTAGAGCCCAGCAAACCGGTTTGACAAGCACTTTAGGTAGTTTTGAGGCACCTTAATGTTTGAGAAGCCCGGGTCTAGAATATAAAAAGAAATGCACTTTGAAGTTGAGAGAACGGGGATCCTAATCCTGGCTTTGCCTATGAGCAGTGGACCTTGCACAAGTTACTTAACCTCCCCATGCCTCAATTTGCTCATCCCTGTTGTGGTGATCCTTCCTATTTTCCAGAATTGTTGAGGATTATATCAAAAACAAAATCAAAGTTACTGGCATGAATATGTGCCTGATAAAGGGTGCTTGTTTGAGGTATTATCATAATGAAGTCATAAATTTGCTCACGGTACTTCTAGAATATACAGAGAAAATGCAGTTCCTTCCCTCATGTATTTAACAGATATTTATAGAGTGCCTACTATGTGCCAGGCATAATGATGGCAATATGGATGAAGTCTCTCCATTCATGGAGCTACATTTTAATACAGGTGTGATCTAGGATGCTGTATGCAACTGTATTTGTAGATCGGGATTTGGGGAGGCAATTAAGTTTAAGTGAGGACATCCTGGGAAGACAGCTCTCTACAAGACAGAATGAGGGCCCTCACCAGAAATCAATCACACTGGCTCTGACCTTGGACTTCCCAAACCATGAGAAATCAATGTCTGTTGGTGTAAGCTACACAGTGGGTGGCATTTTGTTATGGTGGCCCAAGCTGACCAAGACCAAGGTCAAGTGTAATGTTATGATAATACTGAGTCCAGCGGAGGCCCAGAGGAACTGGAGCACTGTTCAGGTCCGGTGCTGAGGGAAGGCTTCCTGAGTAGGTGCTGTGTGAGGAGAGATCTGAAAAGAGTGAGACACCTGCTTGTGGATTGAGCGGGGAAGAAAAAGCAAGTGCCAACTCAGGTGCCCAGGTGCGAGCTGCGTGGGAGTGACTGGGAGGAGGCCCTTGTGGCTGGAAGAAGGGGAGAGTCGGAGAGGGACCAAGGGCCCATCTGGTGAGGTCTTACGGACACAGTGAGGCTGAGGACTCTGTTGTAAATGTGATGGGATGCCACTGGAGGACTGAGAGCTGTAAGAGATCCTTTAATTTTCTTGAATGGCTCCTGCAAAATCCAGGCATTGCCAGTGTGATGGCATTAAGACCTGAGACTTCAAAAGGTGATTAAGCCATAAGTGCTCCTCCATCATCAATGGGATCCATGCCCTTATTTAAAAGCCTTCATACAGCATTGAGTCCCTTGCCCTCCAGCCTTCTGCCATGTGAGGCCAGAGTGTTTCTCTCCTCCAGAGGACCCAGCCCTTACCCTACAACTAAACCTGCTAGAGCTCTGATGTTGGACTTTCCATCCTCCATAACTGTGAGAAAATAAGTTTCTCTTCTTTAGAAGTTACCCAGTCCCAGATATTTTGTTATAGCATCACAACATAGACTAAGACAATATCTAACTTAATTGCTTGTCCTTCAGTCGACATACCAGTTGTTGCCTAAAGAAGTAGCCTCCTTTGGGTAACTTAGACACTTTCTATTTAAATGCTCAGTCTCTTTTAGTACAATACCCTAGTCTTTCTCTTCCTTCTTTCTCCTCCAAATTCTTTTTTTAATTTTTTTTTTTTAGTGGTTGATGGTCCTTTATTTTATTGCTTATTTATATGTGGTGCTGGGAGTCACATGTAATGTCTCACGTGTGCAAGGCAAACGCTCTACCGCTGAGCTACAACTCCAGCCCCTCTTCTCCACATTCTTTATCCAGCCTTGGAATTTGCTCCCACCAAGGTAGGGGCCCCCATCAGAATACCTGGCTTTCAATCTGACACCCCCACCTCTCAGAAGTGTGTCTCAGATGTGGAAGCCACACTCCATGTTGGCTCTGGCAGCCAGCACAGTAGGACTGGGCTCCAAGGTCTCCACAAACAGAGTCTTTCTGGGCTTCTATAACACTTTCCTCTTGAGCCAGAAACTTTCCCTCTTCTTCTAGCCACCCTTACAATGGAAGGGTCGGGTTTTCTATGCCTGCTTTTCTTTCTGCATAAACCTCCCGGTAAAAACCCCATAGTCTGACCCAACAGTCCCAACTTTAGATAACTAAGGAAGAAAATGTGGGAATTTAGAAAAATCTCCCTCTACAATATCTGCTCTCAAACCCACTGCCTTGAATCAAGATCCTATTTTGAGGGCTGGGGTGTAGCTCAGTGGCAGAGCGCTTGCCTGGCATGAGTGAGGCCAGGGGATCTCTCCCTGGCACTGATGGTAGGAAAGGGGGGAGATTCAATTTTCAGAATCAGAATCTGAACACTATCAATTTCTTTCTGCTCTTGTTATCCTAATTTCTTGAGGCAAATGAGTGGCCTCGGCTGGCTTGGCAGAAAATACATCTGGCAAGCAAAAGACAAAAACCACACCGACTCTCCATCACCAGATATTATGTTGTTATTACAAAAAAAATAAAAATAAAATTTTATATATATATATATATATATATATAGCCTGGTGGCAAAGAAATCTTCATTCGGGTTCTTTTTTCACACAACAAGAGTTTTCAAAGACTGATTTTCCACTTTCTATCTCTCCCTTTGAGATTTATTCATTTATGAAATTCAAACAACTTTGGACTTTTATGTGTGGCCTACTTTTTCTCCCATAATTTCTCCAGCTTCTTCCTCCCTTCAGATTGTGACTCGCTCCAGGTCACCCAGGTCTTCTTCACTGTGCTTTAGAGGCCCCGTGAGGGAAAAGACTATGGATGGAGAAGGAGAGAGGGTGCTTCAGAGGCCAGACACTAATGGAGCCTCAGGACAGTCTTCTAGCCCATGAAGGATCATGCCTGGGTCAAGTCTGGTCATTTCCTAAAAAAAAAAAAAAAAATTAACTGAAGAAAAGAAAAGGCTTAAATTAAAAATAATGGGAATCTTTCAAAATCCCCAAAAAGATCAAGGAAAATCTTATAAGGGAAGATTATTATACCAATATAATATACCAATATAATATACCAATATAATATACCAATTATTTCTTGCCCCAATAGGAGGCAGAGACCAGGAAGGCAATAGCATCTCCTCTCTGATTCCCATTTGGGCAGGGAGAAATCAAGGAATCCACGTGAGCAGAATGGAAAAGACTTCCTCATTCCCCCGTCTCAGGCTCTCAGACTCCATGCAGACCAGGCACTTCCTTGGTCCTGCTGTGGGCTCCTGAGACAGCCAGTCTCCAGGTGGATGAGCCCATGCACTGGCTTTGCAGGTCAGAGGCTCCTGGTCCAAATTAGACGCCTCCTCTTATGCCCTGGGCATCCTGGGACACTAACCACTTCTCTAAACCTGCTCTGGGGAAATGGCATCAGAGCTGTGTGGAGACAGAATTGGGTCATACTTAGCTCCTGCCGAGCACATCCAAGTAGTCAATAAACTACAGCTCTTCCGGGGGCTGAAAGTCAGCTGAAAATCCACCACCCTGGCTCTTTACTGTCATGTCACTTCAGATTGGTCAGCAGCGGTAAGGCTTTTTAGTCTCACCCCTGGCTCTTGTTATTACTAGTATCATTATTGCTTTTCCTTTCACGCTGCCACAGGATGGCAGCAAACCATTTCCATTGTGCCTCCCAGCTCTGAAGTTCCATCAGGCTGTTGAAATGATCTACTTAATACAAATGAAGTCAGTCTGCAGAGGGTTGAATTCTAACACATGCCACTTATGGGAGCCAGGAGGAGCAACCTTACCTGTTCCTTCTCATCCAGGCAGGTATCTGCAGGTGTCCTCTGCTGGTGAGCCTCAGGGGATTTCTGCATCCATTTTCTCTTCCTTCTCTCATCAGCTGCCCTCCCTCGACTGCATGGAGTTCCCCTCCACACAGGGCCCTCTCCCCAGCCATCCAGCCCCCAGACCAAGGATTCAGAGAGCTTACTGGTTGGCATGTCAATCATTCCCCTTAAAGTATCCTCCTGCCCCTCCCTCTGTGCCTGACATCATGCTCCCCACAGGCCTGGCCCAGGATCCTGGAATAGTCCATTCCAACCTGGACTCAGCAACTCAGGGTCCTAGTTGTCTAAAGGGAATCAGATCAGAGAGCCCTAGGTCACATCAACTAACTAACCATCAACGGATATCTGTTGAGTGCTGCGAAACACACCCAGCATGGAGTTAGCTGTTGGGCAGGACCAAGAAGGGAGGCCAGGCTGTGAGCTGAGTTCTAGGAGTGCACATACCAGCGCTGGCCTCAGGGGGGTGGCTTGAGTCCCAGCTCTGGTGTTCAGTGAGCATGTGGCTTTAGGGAGGTGTTATGCCGTCTCCAAGCTCCAGTCACCTCATCTGCAAAATGGGTACAATAATGCTATCTATCTTGCCACGGTGACTTCGAGGTGGGTGACAATGCACTCCTGGGGTGCGTAATCACAGTACAACAGGCATTATTTTCACAAGACGGGTTCAAGGAATTTACATGCCCCGTGAAGAAAATTATGTGTAAATATATCACAAGAAAACAAGGCCAGTCATGTCTGGATTGTCAGTTAGAGGTCCAGAGGAGCTGGAGTGCAGGAAAATTATCCTGTTTCTCCGGGAACTATGAGGCTCTCCCAGACTCTGGGGGAAAAAAAAAGCTTACAAAAGCTCCATTATAAAACAAATCCCAATTCTGTAGGGACTGCTATTTATTACCTTGAAAATTAGGGAGTCAGGCTTCCAGCTCCTCCCTCACCTCACAAGGCTCCTGGAGCATATTCTCCAGGTGGGAGGTCTGAACCACCATCCTGGGCTTATTCATGATTATGCATTAATTCACCAATACTTGCAGCACCTGCTATTTATGAGCCAAGCATGGAACCTATCAGGACAAGCAATTAAATGAGTACTAGTGAGAGTGAGGATGGGGCACACGGCTGCTGGGGCCTCCTGGAGAAGTAACCCCTTCACTCATCTGTCTTCCTCTCCCCAGACCTCTGAGAAGCAGTTAGTCCCCCATTCTGCCTGTGAGCACCACTGTGCTGGAACTGGGAGCAGTGTCCCTCATGCTTAAGAGCTTCCTCTAGTTGCTGATTTCAGTACTGAAATTCCCTTCCACAACAGGAATGCCCCTCACTTAATTAAACTGCAGAATTCTTATAGCACATGTAGTGTATAAACCTTTGAATACAGATGGGGAAGCCATATATTGAAAACCTGTTGTATCCCAGGTAGGCATGATTCATACCATTTCACATACCAGAAACTTGAGGTTCAGTGGATCAGTAACTCCAGGTAAAGTTGCACTTTGAGACATCCACATTCAAAGCAGGTGTTTCCCCTCTGAGTCTACTTTAACTCTGGGCAAGTATAGCACACCTAGTCCTTATTCTAAAACATACTGTGGGATAATCTCCTAAGTCAGTGTTTTTCAAATTATAGCTTATCAGGTTAGGGGGTCCAAATAGCATTTTTTTTTTAAATGAAAGACGAGATTAATCACACATGTTAAAACATTGTTTCCGGAAACTTTTTTAATTGTTTATAGGTGTGTAGGTTTATACCTTGAGTAAGTTCCATTTCACAATTAACAAATTTAAAGCTACAGCTCTAAGCTTTTGCTAATCAATAACCAGTAACCTGTCGGTAATTTTTTCAAAAGCCCACGTGCCTTTCGGTTTCCAGAACTGACTACTTTCCACGAAGGTTCATTTCTGAAATAGAAATTGTTCCTTAGGAAGTGATGTTGTCGACTTTTAAGGAGCTAAATGTTCTTCCAGCACACATTTTCCAAATTCAGGGTAGGGTTCTGCTAATAGGATTCTCTGACCCAGCCCCCCCAAATCGCCCCACATAACCACCCTAAACTTCTCGCAGACAACCATATCTGCAGCCACTGCTTGCCATACCAAGACGTATGGGAGCGCTGGCACTAGGCTGGGGAGGAAAACTGAGTGGAGAATTCTTCGTCGGCACTGACATCTGGTGGTCATGGAGCAGCTAGCACCCCGGTGTCTTGAATTCAAAGCAAAGCACCCACCTCAGAACCAGGTCCCAGAACCAACTCCAGCCAAAATGGTTCTTTGTGTCCCCAAATCCCTCCTGGGACCTCCCTTCTCCATGCAGCTGGACTAAGCAGGATGGAGGCAAATAAAGAGGATTTAGTCTAGTCACACCTAGCTCCATCACCTGTCACATGGTCCTGGGTTAACTAAAACTGCTACGAAGTCAAAAATAAGGAAATAACTATCTACAGTGGGAACTGGGGCATCTTATTTTATTGACCCTCAAAACAACTCCTTCAATGTTGATTTTTCAGACACTTCAGCATTCAAAAGATAATGATTTCCTTCTCTTTATCCAAGGCACTGCCTTATCCTTCAAAGTCTGGAGCCTTACTGCTCAGCCCACCCCCATCATCGATTGCCTGGCTTGCTCCACTGAAATAATAGTTAGTGTTTGTGGGGAGCTCACTATGATGCAGGTGTTGTTCTGAAAGATTCATATGGTCAAAATCAAGTCACGTGGGCCATAACAGCTGTCATCTTGCCCCCCTTTTATTGGAGGTGAGATTAAGTGTGATGCTCAAGATCACAAAACTTGGTACTAAACTTTTTAAACTCAACTGTGAGAGCACGTTGTTAGCCTTTGAACTGAATATGACTCTTTGCCTCCTGCTGTAATAGTAGCTAGCACTCACTGGAATGCTTATTAAGTGCCAGGCTCTTTACATGTATTTTCCATCTGTATAGAAGATTCTTTCCCTCCCCACCCATATTCTCAATTTTCACCTCATCAGAACAGAAGTGAGAGCACACTGAACTTCTTGCATGATGCCCAAGACACTGTGTTCTCTTAACCCCGGGCCTTAGTTACACAGGGCGCTTCTTGCCTGGAAATCTCACGTCCCTACTCCAACTGTCCCCTCACTCCCAGACACTCTGCCCATCTTCAACTTGCCGACTCCAACTCCAACTTCAATGGAGGCAGCATCTGCCTCAGGATTTCTTTCCGCACCCCTCTTTATACCCCGTGGACAGAGCAGAATGCATTCTGTCTCCTACTAGCTACAATTCCATAGGGCAAAAAGTGCCCTTTACTTTTTCACCATTGGACCCCAGTGCCTAGCAGAGTTTAGATATAGACAGACATAAAGACGGATAGACGTGTAGACATTAATGTAGATGTGAATATGGTTCTAGGTAAATATGATGAGTCACATATGGCCATATGGCCAGGGTCTACACTGTGCCCTTCTATTTGGGCACTACACTGTGCCCTTCCCCTGGCGGTGCTCTTCAGTACAGGTATTACTGACATGTGGACGAGACAGTTCATCCAGCCAGACTGCATGGAAAACCTAAGGCACTCGGCATCCCTGACCCATAGACACCAAACATTGGTAGGTCTCCACCCCTCTAACCCTCCTTACCACCTCTCTCCATTTTCCACCTTCTCCTTTATTCTTTCCTGTTGCTGTTACAACCCAAACCACACTTTCGCCTTTTTAAATGTCCTCTGGAAAATATCTTCCCCAAGTCAAGAATCACTGTTGCTAAGGTGGTTCTGATTCAGACAGAATATACTTTCCTTCCCACCCCACCCCTGCCCCCAGAACTAGAGACTGAGCCCAGGGGTACTTTACCACTGAGTTATATCCTTTTTATCTGTTAATTTTTTTCTTTTATTTTGAGATAGGGTCTCATGGAATTGCTAAAGTTGGCCTCAAACCTGTGATTCTCTTGCCTTAGCCTCCCAGGTAGCTGGAATTACAGGTGAGCACCACCAGACCCGGCTGGAAAATACTTTCTTTGAATCAGGCAATGTTTATGGAACGTTCATTTTTCACCTCTAACACCATTGCCCTCTCAGTTACCTGTTGTATGTCAGCTCTGAGACCCTCATGGGTGGGAGTGAACTTGAGCTGTTCAGCAATACTGTTGTCATGATAAGTCCACCCATAATGGGGGTGAAGGCAGAGGAGGGCAGGAGGAATCCTAAGAGACAAAATGTTTGTCACGTTGACAGAGCAACGTGGTGCTATAGTATTCGCTCTTTTATTTTTTTTTTTTTTACCAACTTTGTGAAGATAATAAAAATCTTTTTCTGTTTTCTCATTATCCATTGTTAACATCAAGTATACAAGCTGTAGCTATCAGGTCTATGACAGGAACAAATGGCTGTCCTGGAGAGATGCCTCATGTACTTTAAGATGGTTCTGGAATTTAGAAGGTTTACAAGAGGTGTTAACTATTCAACATTGCTGATTTCCAGTTGTGTTGGGAAAACAAAAGTCATTAAATGATTGGTGATTAGATTATTTCCTTCTCTGCAAATGGAGATCTGGTTTTGTTTCTTTTTCTTTCTTTTTTTTTTTTCTCTTTAACTGGACAGAACAAGAAGGAACCTCAAAGAATTTTTTGAAGGTGCCATTCACTTTTGTGGGTGCATGTTTGTGTGTGTGTGGTAGCTGGGGATTGAACCCAGTGGCTTGTGCATTTCAAGTAAGCACTCTACCAACTGAGCTATATCCCCAGCCCCTTACTTTTTCTTGATTATTTCCTTCTCTGCAAATGGAGATCTGGTTTTGTTTCTTTTTCTTTTTTTTTTTTTTTTTAACTGGATAGAACAAGAAGGAACCTCAAGGAATTTTTTGAAGGTACCATTCACTTTTGTGGGTGCATGTTTGTGTGTGTGTGGTAGCTGGGGATTGAACCCAGTGGTATTCTACCACTGAGCTACATCCCTAGCCCTTAAAAAAAAAAAAAAATCTTAAGACAATGTCCCATTAAATTTCCCAGGCTGGCCTCAAATTTGCAATCCTCCTGCCTCATTCTCCTGCCTCATCCTCCCAAGTTGCTGGGATCATAAGACAGTGCCACCGCACCTGGCTCATTTTTCTATTTTGAAGAATAGTCATTGTCCATGTGAGGACTGTATTTTCATTATTTGTCAGCACATGAAAGAGCTAACTATGGGAGTTTGGCCTGATGATGGTGTACATATGTAATCCCAGCAATTAGGAGGCTTAGGCAGGAGCATCACAAGTTCAAGGCCAGCCTCTGCAACTTAGGAAGACCCTGTCTCAAAATATAAAATTAAAAGGGCTGGGGATGTAGCTCAGTGGTAGAGAACACCTTGTTTCAATCCCCAGTAACAAAAAAATGTTTTGAAAAGACTTGTAGAACTACGCCCTAATTTCATAATTTCTTTCATGTTCATAAGCCCTGATCACTGTAATAAAAAAAATAAAGCACTTTGCTTAGAACAATTAGCTTTGACAATGTATGTATAAGCAGAACATTAAATTGTAAATGTGTTCATTTTCTTCGTGACTTCTACATGTTAAAATAATAGAGACAAGAAAAGTAGGTGGAAGAGGATTCTAAGTAATTTCAGGGAATTATTACAGAGTGAAGCTGGTGCGATTTTGTCTCTTTGACATATTGAAGGCAGCCAGCAGAACAAATCTTGTTTTCGGAGTGCATTTTCACTTAGCTGCCCTCAAAGTGGAGATGCGCTCGCTACTCCTCAAAAGAAAAATCAA